AAAATATGATCAATTGCGTTGAGAGACCAGTTTACCAGATCCATCATTTTGGTTTTGGAGGAAAATGCAGAGAGAGGCTCCGAGATAGTTTGACAGAGACGGTACAAGACATAGAGCAGTAGCAGGGCAGATAAGGGTAGGAGGGGAGGAAAGGAGCAAGGGAAAAAGCGTCCGCCTTCTTCGAGAGCCAAGTGTAAGGTCAAAAAGGAACTGGAAAAGGAATCTGTGATTTGTTACAACCAAACCCATTCCATAAAAAGGCACACATATTTTTTAGACTCAACAAAACTACTAAAAAACAATATGTCCAGAATGCTGGTGGAGGAGGGTGTGATCTTAGGAAAGTGCCAAGCAGAATGACCGGTGTGTATGAAAATGTTATATCAGTGTTTAAACTGAAGGAAAGTGTGTTGATTGTGTGCAAGAGAACTTCTTGGGCTATATAACATATAGTATTAGGGCTTTAAGTTAAATGTTTACTTGGAAGTGTCTGCAAGCTCTTGGTCACGTGGTCATAAATTGTAATAGTTGACTTCTTAGGGAATGTGTGTGTTCCTCTTGACTAAGTTGGAATCCAGGTAATGGATTTTGGTGACCATAAAGAGGGGACTTCCTAATCTAGAGGAAGTTTGGAAGGTTAATGATTGTGTCCTTTGTCTGAACTGAAATTTAACGACTGTGTGATGTAACCATGTAAAACCATATAAAAGAGTAATTCTCAGTGCTTCATTAAGTGCTCAATAGTTTGAAAATTCTTCAAAGTTCAGTCTGGAAAAATATGCAATATATGTTAGACAAATACACAACTCTTGGCTTAGACAAAATAATGAACCCCAAACTACAGGTATGGGATAAGAGTAACTTCATGGCACATGGAACAAGCAATTCAAAGTGTAATTAAGAAACGGTAAATGCAGTAATGTATTTCTCCTACTATACAGTAAGTCACACTTTTTAAGTAGTTTTTTAGGTCCAGCTACCCATATTCCGAACTACTAATATCAGTAACTAATACCATCTATTGCTACAAAAGGGCATCGTCTACACTCGTGACACCTGAATGCAGCTACTGCACTTATTAAATAATGAGACAAATACATTCATTAAGACTTTCTTAAAAACAAAAAAAGTCCACACTTACATATAGACTTCCACAGAGAATGCAAATAAAATACTTCCTGACAGAAAAAGACATACTGCAGATCATAAAATATGAAGCCAAACCATAATGAAGCAACAGATAACAAATGAACAAACTGGAACTGATGCTGATGATGAGGCTGTCCACAGCCAAACAGAGAAGATGGCCCTTCATCTTCCTCTGGAGATGGCAGAAGAGTTTAGAAGTGACAACGAGGATGAATGGACTCAGTGATGAAGGATGTCATTGGGAACTTTTTGGCCTGTTATGCCATTTTGCATGTTTTTTTTTTTTTGGGGGGGGGGGGGGGGTTGCAGAAAATTGATTTAGGTTAGCATAGATTATGTTGCAGTAGCAGTTCTGCAGCTCTTCAGTGGATTTGTATGGATTATTTACTTTAATTTTCCCAGTTGTTTGCAACATCCAACGAATTGTTCCATTTACTCCTAATGTCTGCTGCTTACTGCCAGTGACATATTCAAATTATTGTTGCTTCTGTCATTAAAACTGCAATTTCAACACATTTTGAACAAAACATCCCCACTGCTCTTATTAAACACACACACACACATGCACAAACACACACCTGAGTGCTTTCATCATGGAAACCTTCCAGAAAGCTCTCCAGCAGCTCATCTGCATTGTCAATGCGCTCAGCATACTCTCCCACGATCCAGATCATGGCAGCACGTGCCTCCGGCTCATCCAGGGAGTCCAGGTTTTCACACAGAGTAGCAATCACACTTTCATACCTGTCAGGAAGTCACAAACAAATTAGCATATTAAACAGACCTTTGCACAGAAATACAGACATGTATAGTTCAACTTGCACAGGCGGTGGTGGCTTGGTGGTTAAGGAAGCGGACTTGGGTCCAGAAGGTTTCAGGTTCGAGTCCACCTGATTCTGTACCCACACACTGCTACTTACTTTGGTGATGGGTAAAATGCAGAGGTTTCGTTGTGTGCGTGTGTGTGCTGTGTCACAATGACAAATAAACTACTGCTGAACAATTTTAATTTACTTTTTTTTTTTTTTTTTGGAAAAAGAAAAAACAGACTAAAGTGAAGGTTTTTTGTCATAACAGAGAAAGGTTTAACAGGGCAGTGACTCAGTGACTTATGGCTGGAGGATAGAACCAGGCTGTGGTGAAAGTTCTCTGAAGATTCTTCCTCAGAGACCCGTGACTGCAAGTTTTGCTCTACTATGGTACGTCAGTGTAGCATATTTTCCACAGAAATCCACTCTGTTGAAATCATAGCCAAAGTCATGATCCAGAGTGCTGACTACAAAGGCAGCAATTGCTACTGGGCTCCTCACTGTGATTCCATACTTGTTTTTGCATAAGAGCAGAGACATTTTAAAGAACAAGGCAAATGTGAAGGAAGGAAGGAAGGAAGGAAGGAAGGAAGGAAGGAAGGAAGGAAGGAAGAAAGGAGGAAAGGAAGAAAGAAAGGAAGGAAGGAAGGAAGAAAGAAAGGAAGGAAGGAAGAAAGAAAGAAAGGAAGGAAGGAAGAAAGGAAGAAAGAAAGAAAGGAAGGAAGATGAAATTGTGCTTCTTTCAAATTTTAAAAAAGAAAGAATTCGAGTTGGATTAAAATGATATCTGATTCTTTCAGAATTGTAACATCTGTCTTACAACTTTCACGCTCACCCTTGTATATCTGGAAATTATTGAAATGACACTATGACCCCTGATGTTAACAGAACCTACTTGTTGGGATATTTTCGGAAGATGTCCTTGATGACCACGATGGCCTCCTGCACCACATAATTGACCTTGGTCTGGATGAGGTCCAACAGGGTGCTGACACAACGTTCTGCTGATTGCTAATAAGTGAAAAGAGGATTTGTCACTTAAAAAAAACACAGCTGTAACAGAAATGTTTAGATAGAATGAAATCACTCGATTATAATGTTATAAGTTAAAAGCACAAATGATAGAAGTTGTGTTGTTACAGTACTTTAAGGGGAAACATTATAATTGTGTACATATCATCCAACTTTATAATTCAAGTAAGTTAGTGAGCCTGGTACTATTTTTTATGAGTTAGATTATTATGACAAAAACTCAATTAAATTAGGAAGCGGACGGGGAGGGGAGACTCCCACTCCCTCCTTCTACTCCTCTAAGGTGAGAGTAGGAGACTCTTTGGGGGAGTAAAAGGAGGTGAAAATCACAAATAATCATGATATATTGAGATTTATCCACAGCTTATTTATTAATTTTTAACTGTTGACCTTGTGTTTACTTTTTAATGCCCTCACAGTCATATCAATAGGTAGGCCAAAAAAACCTTTTTTTTGTATTTCAGAAGACAAAGCTCAGTTTGTTAACATTATAAAACTCTACACATCAGAGATTCTGATGAACAATTTGGTGTTATAAACTAGAAACTACTCACCTCTACTTTAATGGCACAGCGCCCAATGGCTCTGACCGCTTTACGGACAAAGTCAACATCTACCTCCGTGGCGTATTCCTTCAGCTCAGCCAGAACCTGAAGCAAGAAAAACACATTTCATTGCTGTGTAGTTTATAGTATTATACAGTATGTATATACAGTATCATTAAGAACAACAATTTATTAATGGAGTGCATTAAAGAGTGATACCTGAGCAATGTTGGCTTGAGATGCAAGGCGAATCATTATGTCCAGCTTCTCCAGTTTAACATAAATTGGATCGTTATATTTAACATAGAAAACCTTCATCTCGTGTTTCAGAATCTCAGGGCTGAAAGGAGAAAAAAACTTCACTAAAACACACATATTAAAGATCTTCAGCTGAAATACCTCTGCAACTCACCGTCTCTGCACAATGAGATTGATGTTTCTCAGAGCCACATATTGGAGCTCAGGCTCAGCAGAGAGCAGGGTGACCAGGGGAGGTGCTAACTTCTTCAGGAGAGTGCCGTAGTAATCCAGGTCTTTTGGCAGCATTTCCATGAACTTCATTAATACCTTCACTGCTGACAGCACCACTGCAGAGTTGGCATGTGAGAGTCTGGGAGTTACACGCTCACAGATGCTAGTAGTTGTTGGAACAGAAAAGCAGAAAATTAATTTACTGTGGAATCAAATGTCAGCAAAGTTACCAAATGTTAATAATGCTGGTGTTTACTTCCTACCTTTGGGATTCACGATCATCACGAGGTGTGTAGTTGGCCAGGCAGTCAAGGATAAATATCTGGCCCCACTCTGTGCACTCATTCAGGGCTGTCAGCAACTTGTTCATGGTCTGAGGGTTCAGGTCCATTAGGTTGCTGTTGGGGTGGGACTCTGCGATCTCCGACAGTGCAGCCACTGCATTTGCTACAACCTAAGGTTAAAGAGGAGAGGAAGCACGTCATGTTGGAGCTCACAGTGCAACAGTCAGATACAGATGTGCGAGTCCTACCATAGGGTTAGAGTCAGAGATGAGGTCTTTAAGAGTGTCCAGAAAGCCTTGGTCCTCCACCAGTTGAGCGTTGATGTCATGGAGCTTTGCTACACACACTGCAGCTGTCTTTCTAACATATGGGTCTTCGTCCTTCAGACATTTCCTCAGCGGCTCACAGAGATACTCGGTGATCTTGTCTACCCGGATGCAGCCCATTGTACGAACAGCAAGGGCTCGGATCAGAGGGTTGGGGTCTTCACAGTCCTTGTTTGGTGAATCATAGATGTGATACATTTTATGTATCTGTTTAGTACTAATTATTCTTACAAAAGGAAATTATCATAATGAGCGAACATTAATTTTGCCAAAAAATAAATGATATCAGAGCTATTCATTAACATGTCATGTTTCTTTAAAGGGGAATTCAGTAAGTAAATATGGCTACAATGCTGTTAAACAGTTAATGTATGCAGATATTTATATTTTTATTCTGACAATACTGTACAGTAATGGTAAATATTACACACAGTCCTATTTAGATAGACTACTGAAATGTTCTATTTTTATTTTCGAGTGTACTAACCCTAACCCTAACACAATACAGTGCTCCACCTGGATTTTACACAAAGATCCAGAGCTGACAGAACCTACCTTAACAAAGGTGTTCACAGCCATGATGGCCATGTCTGGTTGACTCTTAGCGTAGTTCATCAGGTAGAGGTAGACCAGCTTTTTCAGTTCCAAGTTGTCCGTCTGCATACAATTCACAACATCTGGGAACAGAGCACTGAAAAGACAGGACAAAATATTAATTTATTTCTGATCTACTGTAAAATGGAGAGGTTATGACTTGCACTTAAGTCAAACTGAGATTCAGTCATTCATTCACTCTCCTATTCTCACCTGACATCTTTGCCCACTGTCATTGATGCAATGACCTTCTTCACAGCTTCCTTCTTCTTTTCTTTCTTGTCACTGTTCAGCTCTGCCTTGAGCTCGAAGATCTCACCTGAAAAACACACCCAGAGGGAACAGAACGATTAGACCATCTGTTATTTTATAAGGAGTACTTCACACCTTTCAGATAGTTATTTGTAAAAGATTTGAGCAGTAGGCCGACACACAAATCAATTATCTCTATCTGCAATCAGATGAATACATAATGTGGAGGGAGCAGCTGTGCATAACAAAAAAAAATGCTGGCCATCTTGAGTTCCCCAAAGCTGTGAGTGATGCCACAAGCACAACACTGATTTCATGTCACATCAGGTCAAACCATTAAATGCTGACATTTTGGCATAATATTTAAAGAGCAAAAGAGTAACACACTTGGCAGCAATTGGTTTATTGATAAACAACCTCTAAATTTATTATAGTATCTACCTTTTACATGTTTTGGTAATGGTTCTGTTATCGCTGATCTGTCATCAAACTGAATGATGACAGGATCATGTTTTTTAAAGAATTACGTCATATATAATATACATAATGACATCACATGTAAAAAAATAACAAAGACTAAATCTTCAGACCTTTCTTGGTGGTGGTGAAGTACTTGGAGTCCGTCATCTTGGATCCAAATTGTCGATTCTCCTGCAGACAATAAAAAAAATAGTAAAAGGAATGCTGGTGAAGATTGAGGAAAAAAGTCACACAATGACAATCACTAGAACAGCAGATAATACTAGTGCAAGCACAGAGAAAAATACAAAGGAATTCCTGTGACCTGGATGATAGTGAACCATCAACAGAAAACAATGGATTATGCTGAGAAAACATTATCTTCTCTGCTGAGTTACAGGATATTAAATGATTCTTACCATGATACAACACCTCTGTAAAGCAATACATTTAACTAAAATGTAGATCCCTCTGTTCCAATTTTAATTACATGATGTTAAGCATAAAACAGGATTGTTTGTTTACTGTGCTGATAGTTTTCCTACAATTAATTTGTTTTAAAAAACTCAATATATTGTCATGCCTATAGTATCACAGTGTATCTCAATATCGTATCTTGCCCCTGTATGGTAATATGGACTGTACCGCCAAATTCTTGCCAATACACACCTGTATTTGAAATGTATATTTGCATTATTTTATATCAATGATGTTTAAATAAAGTTGACTTAGTTAAGATAAACTGGTGATTTTTTTTCTTTCAAGTCTCTCCTCTGATTATACTTCTGTTGCCTCTACCATGTTTTTGGCCTAGTTTATTGGTTAACAAATCAATACAGATTTGGGTGTTACTAATGGAAATTGTGGCTGGCCTCCAAGAATGCATTTGTTCAGATATTAGCTGTAGTTTGACCTTGTGATATAATGGAGTTAAATATTTCTCCCAGTCTTTAGCAGAGGTATGGATGTGTCAGTCAGAACAACATGCATATGCAACAAAGAGCATGTCATTAAAGTTATCATATGACTTTCTTTTTAGTACAACAAATACGCCACTGCTGGTGACTTTGGTAATGAAGGACATCCTCACTATACTTTCAATACATCTGTCAATGAGCCATTATGTTCATAAACTCTATTGTCTGTTTGTTAGTAGAATATGTCTATGAAGATTTTCAGTCATCCAGGTCATGGTGAAGGTTGAAGAGTTCTGTTAGGCAACTGGACGTGAATTTTCTAAAAGAATATGTTTCACCTATCATCCAAGAGGCTTCTTCAGTTCTAACTGGTGGTGGAGAGTACAGCAAATATATACTCTGGGTGTGAAATAGACATATTTCCACGCACTTTGGGATGGATACCCTCCACCTGGAGTACGAGAAAACTTACAGAAAACTTGCAGACTACAGGAACCAGCTGCGGTTTAACCTAAGGTGCAGACACCACAAGATAATCCCCAGCAGCCTATGCCTCCTCTCCACAGTGAAAGGTCACAGGGCCAGGAACATTCTCCAGAAGGCGCAGTATCAGCTGCTCAGTGAACGAGTCAGACAGGTACACTTCACCATCGATGCCTTGAGGCTGAAACTTGACCAGGTAGGAGAACAATTAACTATGCTACTCCCCAGGAACATGGATGAGGTCTCCAAGTTTGCAGAGAAGGCCCAGATGTTCCAACACAACAAAGGTAAGGAACGACAAAAACAAATTCCATATCCTCCAGCCCAGACAGACCACCGCCATGGAATCTACATGAAACAACAGAGATTCCAACACTACACAGCAGGGCTCCCAGGTGAATTGGGTGAAGAATATGTCTGACAGAATCCTCACCCAGCCGGAAAAGGACATATTGGCCAAAGGACTGAACTTTGCGGTCTCTCCTGCACACATTCCCACCGTGGACCTCATCACAACCACTGAGACAGCCATCAGAAACAACCGATTGAACACCACGGAAGCCAAACAGCTCAGGTTGAAGGTCACCGCGGCACTCCCCAGTGCTAAACCTCCCCCTTCAAACCTGTCCCTCCCTAAAAAGAAAGCGCTGGCAGCACTCCAAAAAGACCCAGACATCACCATTCTTCCAGCAGACAAAGGTAGGTACACAATTGTTTTAAACACAACAGACTACCACGCTAAGGTCAAAACTCTTCTCAGTGACTCAGCCACTTATGAATCACTGAGGAAAGATCCCACCAGCAGCTACAAAAAGAAGGTCATCAGCTGCCGCCAACAGCTGGAAAAGGATAAAGCCATCGATAGACCTCTGTACCACCGGCTATATCCGGGAGAAGCCATTCCCCCTATTTATGGTCTCCCCAAAATCCACAAGGAAGGAGTTCCACTCAGACCCATCAGCAGCAGCATCAAATCAGTCACTTATAACATCGCCAAACACCTGGCCTCTATCCTTTCATCATTGGTTGGGGACACACCTCACCACACAGCCAACAAGATAAGGGGCCTAAAACTGGACACGGATGAGACCATGGTCTCCTACGACGTCACATCACTTTTTACACGCAGCCCCACCACAGAACCTGACCTAACCTGACCATCGACCACATTTGTGCCCTTCTGGATTTCTGCCTCACCACCACTTCCAGTTCAACAAGTTATTTTACAGACAGAAGCATGGCTGCGCTATGGGCTCTCCTGTGTCTCCCATAGTGGCGAATCTTTACATGGAGGAAGTGGAGAGCCGAGCTCTACACTCCGACGTGGGAACATCACCCAGCCACTGGTTCCGATATGTGGACGACACTTGGGTCAGAATCAAGGTCCATGAGGTCATCAACTTCACAGACCACATCAATGCGGTGGACAGGAACATCAAGTTAATCTCAACAGGCATCTCAACATAGAGGTGTACAGGAAACCAACTCACATCAACCAGTATCTCCTTTTTCACTCACACCACCCACTGGAGCGCAAATTAGGAGTCATCACAACCCTACAGTCACGTGCAATAGTCCATTCCGCTGGACAACATACATGTGCGATATGTGTCAACATTACTCCTACCTCCATGTATATTTTTACCTAGACTCTTTTTATATTTATTTTCTGTATATAATGTATGTTGCTTTCTTCTTTCTCTTTTTTGCACTAAGACTGCTTCTTGCACTGCATTAGGAATGGTTACAATTTCGTTGTACTGAAAGTATAATGACAATAAAGGCATTCTATTCTATTCTATTCCCACCACCAACAGAGGTAAGATGAGAGAACAGGGACACATTAGGACAGCTCTCAAGACCTGTGGCTATCACAGATGGGCTTTTTTAAAAACTAACAAAAAGAGGCCTACAAAGAGAGAGGACAACAGGAGGTGGAATGTCGTCATTCCATACATTTCAGGAGTTTCAGAAAAACTTAGGAGGATCTTTAACGAACATCAGATCCACGTACACCTGGTAACACCCTAAGACAAAAACTGGTTCATCCCAAAAACAAGACTCCAAGAAACAAGCTGGACAATGTGGTTTATGCTGTTCAGTGCAGTGAAGAGTGTACGGACCTGTACATTGGGAGACCAAACAACCGCTACACAGGCCCAACACAGTAGGGCCAACTCCTCAGAACAGGACTCAGCTGTTCACATACACCTCAAGGCCAAACACACTCCTTTGAGGACAACAATGTGCACATTTTGTCCAGGGAAGACAGATGGTTTGAGAGAGGGGTAAAAGAAGCCATTTTTGTCAACATGGAAAAACCATCACTCAACAGAAGAGGCGGGCTTAGACACAACCTATCACCCACATTCTTAGGAACAATACCCAACAGATTCTCCTCAGTTTCACACAACAAAGAGGCAGGAGACCGAAACCTTTCTAATGAGGATTACAACAACCCATTAGACTCTTAACGACTGTTTACACTTTCCCAGTTGACCCAAAGGCCTCACCCAACAGGGGGGAGCTGAAGTAGCTTTATTATTTCACACCCAGAGTATATATTTGCTGTACTCCCCACCACCAGTTAGAACTGAAGAAGCCTCTTGGATGAGAGGTGAAACGTCTTCTTTTAGAAAATTCACATCCATTTAGTAGAATAGTTCCATTGTCTAAAAAACAAGATAGGTAAAACATTTTCTAGACTTGTTGAGACCGAAAAAAGGGTATTTAAAAATGTATGTTTTCTCTAAGTTGGCAGGTGTTCTTAAAAAAAGTTTATTAAGAAAAAAATGCATATTTTCAAAACGTTATTCACAGTGTAAAAGTGTCATCCTGGATGGTTCCTTGCCAGTTACTGTTATTGTTGATGTTACACAAGTAAGACTAGATACATGACTGTTTGATGATTTGTGTTACCTTTGAGTGACCTCTTAGGTGTGAATAGAAACATATTATGAAATGATTTAAAACCCCAGAAAATGACCCATTGTTTTCAAAATATATCCACCTACATGTGGACAACGCATGAGTGTACCGTATTTTTCGGACTATAAGGCGCACTTAAAATCCTTTAATTTTCTCAAAAATCGACAGTGTGCATCATAACCCGGTGCGCCTTATGTATTACTTCTGGTTGTGCTTACTGACCTCGAACCAATTTTATAAAGTCAAACCACACAGCGCAACATACATGATGGCACACAACTGAAGCACATTGGGAGCCAACAATGACGTTTAACTCTGTTATAACAATTAGAAGACGTGTGGTGGAGAAATATGGTAAAATAATATGTAAGGGCCAACTCAGAATAACAGGCAAAAACTGGCCAAACTGACGTGGGAATAACAGGAAGACTGGAGACAGGCACAGGCAAGAACAGGTCAAGATGACCTGGTAAATGAACATGTTTATCTGGTTACTAGCCAAATGTGAGCCAAATGTTATGTAACA